ACGATTTTGGCTCCCTTTACGAGCTATGACCCTTGTAGGCCGCTGTTTGATGGGCGCTGTACCCTCAAGTGTTGAGTCCTCCCTGGACCTGGGTCATAAAATGATTCAAGTTTTCCAGCTTGCTTGAACTCAAGATGATGTGAATCCAACGAATTCTTCGGACTCTACGAACATATTTGGCAGGCTATCCGGTTACCAAGTCGTCAATCCGTCAAAACCTTCTTTCCATGAGATTACAGAGCGTGCACATAGCACCTCCTCAGGCTTTGACGATCACTCAGAAGTTTTGTTGCAGCTCACCTCGCTTGATCAAAGTAACCAATGGACAGCGGGAATCCAGTTCCGGTTGTCACTGAAGCGCCGCTGCAAGCACTGGAGCTTTTTCGGGATTTCCGTGTCTCATTCAAAGCTAGCTCCGCCACGTCGCTTACGGCGCGTATAGTGCCAAGTAACCGCGCCAATCCCTGAGCTTCTTCAATGAGTTCTTCTAACACCAAATGGTGACTATGCATTTACCCGTGCCGTCCTGTCATGCGTGCCGCAAGGGATCTCAATATCTCTGGCTTGTGGCGGATGCAAGAACAATCTGCGCTAGCATCTAAGATTCGTCTAGCAATTGCTACTATGTCTTGCCCTGCGTCTTGCAGTACTTCTCGCGCCATTAGAGTTGCGCCTGAGACCTGCTGATTCGGGCGTTCCGTGCCGTTGGCAATGTGAAGGGGTTCTCGAAAGCGATATTGGCGCGCTGTGCCCCCAAGAATGGACCTTCAGGTTTAGGTCAAAAGACGTACTATTATCGGAAGCAGAAACCCTCTGTACTTACCACAGAGATATCTACGATATGTGCGCTGCCATGATTACGAGATTGGCTAAATTTGCATCTCTGACAGCTCTAGTCCTGGCCTCTCCGATCCCAGACAACAGCGACATCATTGGGTGCGTCAATTCATGGGACTCATGGGGGATCGCCTGCCCCAATCTTGGTCATCACCTCTTTTGCGACAATCTGCCAGGAGTCCGCGCTGGGTCGTGAGTCAACCCACCCTCCCATCATTGCCAATTCAATCCTTCCCTCAAATGCATTGAAAGGCTAACCTTCCGTCAATCAGGGGAGCCTCCCAAACCCGTATGAAGCGTCGAAAACAATTTGAACCTCTCAATAAATCTCCTCACATTCTCCAGACACGCAAGAATGACGACGGTACAACCTATTGTCAAGCTCAGACCAATACCTTTGTCGTCGTCATCTCCTTTAACGCCGCTAACGCTGCGGTCTCATCCTTCCTCAGCGCCTGCCTCAACGCCGTCCAAACGATCATCAACAACGGCAATACCGGCCTGATACCAAATGATGGGTGGTATGGGCCCTTAGGCCGCAATGGGGTCAGCATGACCGTTTGGAGTGAAAATGACTACCAGACCACGTATGGGGTACTGCATTCGACGATACAGGCGTTGATTGGTTGGATGTCGAGCAATGACAATACGTTTGGGACTGGGAGTTTTACGGTCTGGGATGGGGACCATCAGGTTGGGCACGGAAGTATCAATGGCTAGGAAGGGGGCTGTGACTCGAGTAGTCTCGCCCTACGGCTTGGTCAAAGTGACGAACAATCACATTGGTTGCAGGCCAGCTGTGAATGCCTAGGTGAAGACGCCAAACTTAATGGTAGTAAGAAGTATCTGGATCAGCCAGCATCACGTGGTATGCCATGATTCGTTGGAGCTATGAATGCCGGGCATCGCTCAGCACCCTGCCATGCTCTTTGGTGAGCTAAGCATAAAACCATGAATCGCTCCAGTACGTATAGAGAGTTACCACGTCGGCTGGGTAGCATCCACGAAACCGCCCATGTTCAGCGCCAAATTCATGCCTGTAGCCCGTGGCCAACTCCGAATAGCCAGGCCCAGATAAGTTAGAGGCCGCTTAACAGATGCGGTTCCGCTTTTAAGGAAAATTCTTAGCAAGACAGAAGCTTGCCGCATGGCTCTTTCCGACAGATCTTTCGCCCGTCCTCCAGACGACAATGGCAGAGTCACGGTACGCAGGTACTGGCTAGCGGCTGCATTTGCATAACTAATTTAATGATCTGTTCAAGTCGTTGATGCAAAGCTCTGCGCCACAAGATCTCAGCCTTGAACTAAGAACGTTTGGCAAATTTGCAACGGCGCTCCGTTGCCATGTGGCGGTGTTCCGATCGGTTATCCCAATATTCTCATCGCGACTGGATAGCGTGGCCCGAGTGACCCCTGCTCAGCACCAACATCACCACTACAATCTAGGGCAAATACAGCTCACCCCACGAACTCATTTGCAGCTTCGAGAAATTTCTCACCAAAGTGCTGTAATGTCAACGGCTTTCCGCCTTGACCTCTGCTTGAGCAATCGATGAGATGAAGGTACACCTGACTTGGACGCCGTTGAGTGCGATAATCCTCTGCCACGAAGACGAAACAGCGACTAGCTCCGTTGAAGGATCATTAATGTATGATGATTCCATGAGCCGCTCAGCTGATGTGTCCCAAATCCGCAGGGGGGGCTCTTATAGGGTATTAATACCTACTTATAGAGCCCTATCTTTTGCGTTACTGCGATGACTGAACGACCCTATGATTCTGACCTTGGTCCTGCAAAGCCTGCAGAACACATTTATGGCTCGAGTCCAATTCCATTAACTGACCATGCTACTTTGTCGAATGAAGTAGAGCAATATCTAGTGAACCCTAGCCCATGTTGCTCATCAGATCATACTAATTCGCCAGATGTGCCTGTAGCGGACAATAATACGCCAGCAGAGGGCGACCATTCACCGCAGCCCCCGATTGAGACGTACGGAGAGTCACGTGGGAAGAAACATCTTGACGAGACAGATTTCCTGGCTGTGATTGTTGTCCTATTACGCCTCATTGCTGCAATTGTCTCCAATTCTCCACAGCTTATCGTCGTATGGAGATTCAAGACTGAAGAGGCAAGTGAGTCATAACCGTCCTCCTTGAGTACCTCTGGAGGTTCGAAATCTGCTTGCACAAATGCAAGATTCCCCAGCTCCAGATCTTGGCTTCCTTTGAAGCATAACGAATCTATACCTGAACGACATTGCACCAAAGGTTATTTTACTGTCTGATGCTCGCTTCGGCCATGCATATATACAAAACTACGATAATCCTGCGAGACTCTGTCGTCCTTCCCCATACCGGTTGACTTTAAAGGGTCATTCTCTTAGCAACGATCGCTCTGCCCACGGGACTGAGATCAATATATACCATCTTAATCCGAAAGAATATAAGTCTTCAAGCAGCACCGCCTACAAGGGGTTATAGAGGGGTCACACAACTCTACCTTGAAAGATACAAAAGGACAATACGGTCTGGCCGCACCGGGACGAGTGGCGAACATTAGGAGCTACAATGGTGTTACTCCAATGATCAACGCTACTCTGCCTTTCCTGGAAGCTTCTATGAATGACAGTATTCCTCCACATCTTCCATCTTGCCTTAGGCTTATGGCTTAAACATGCTGCTTCTTTTCGAAAAGTCCACAGCTGTCCTGTAAGCACGACCATTTCTGTCTCCATCTAACCGTAGTCGACCCAAGCGGCATCCCCTGTGGACACCATAAGGCCTGAAGTACTTTGTAAGGATAGTAGCCTCGAAAAGAAGTGCTGACATCTCAACTCTTCGTCAGCGATGCACGACTACGTCTCGTCTATTCAGACGAAGTTAGCGGAAGGCGAATCTCAGACTGTCGGCGCCTAGGTTCACGCGACCATAAGCACGTGAACAACCCCGCTGATAAGCTTTCGGGATGATTCATCTTGGTGGAACCAATACATCGAATTCGATCCTAGTATAGATTTTGAAACCATTGAGCTTTACAACAACAATAGCATTGGACTCCTACTCAACAACTTCAACGTCAAAAACCCTGGTCGCAAGTCCTGGTGTTCCTAGGCATAATTACTGGCGGGAAAAGCGCTCCAAACATCCAGGACACATTTCAGTACCCGGCGTTGGCGTCCAACACCCCCCCGAGACTCCTGCGAAGCCAAACTGGACCGTCACCAGAGACACCGCGAAGCTCGCCAGTGGATATTGCCCGCCCAGGCTTACTGCCAGATAGACCAGAAAACCATCACCAGCAACAGCCCTCCTTTCATCGGGTACTACATGCCCACCTCATCCGAATCCCTCGGCGCCTTCGCCACAGAACGCAACACGTCCGGATCATTCTTCCCAACCTTCACGACCGCGGTCGCGGCATCGTATTGGTCCCGCATGATCCGAGGTAGATTACCACATCAACGACGCCATTGTCTCGACCAGAATCACAACGGATCCCTCGTATCTGGATGTTATACCTCGTGCTAGCATTCCAACCCGCCCTCGCGGCTCTAACCTCCTCGCTATCAAACGCCCATGGATGCCGCATTCGGCACGAGCGCCGTCCGAGCCGCTGTACAGAAAGAGAGTCTGAGGCTGCTCGACTGCGCGTCGTTGAGCGGTCGCCTCTCGATTGAGAACTGGTGTCCGTGGAGTGGGGACCGGGATGGGGGAATCGGGTCCTCTGGAAGTTGAAGATGTGCTTGGTGGTGGGGGGGATGATGAGACTTTGTCGCACAGGTTGAGGTATAGGGGGCGGAGGATGGGGGATAGGGTTAGGGGGGTTGGAGGTGTGTTTGGGAGGGGTGGGGATCAGTATGAGATGTGTTCACTTGATAGGGGAGCATGTGCGTACTGGGTAGTAGTAACTTATGTTTTTCGTTTCATACGTTCTAAGGGTAGACTTTAAATGACTCGATGTAGCTTATGTATATATCGCTCTCTGTAAGCAACTCCTCTCGTTTATGCCTCCAGTAGATCTGTATTTGCGAGAGCTCTTCGTTTTGGAATACAAGGGGAAAAAAGGGAGAATGCTGGCGCTCGGAATCGAACCGAGATCAATCCCGCCACAAGGGAGTATTCTGCCATTAAAATACGCCAGCTTGTCTTGAATTTGTGGATACTCACACCGAGAGTCGAACTCGGGTTTGGGTCTTATCAGGACCCCGTCCTAACCGTTAGACTATGCGAGCTTGTTTGAATGATAATATGGCTCTTAGACTGATCCATATCGTGAATGTTGAGTCATAACTGAAGGCTTGGCGCATGCGGGAAAGGAAATGAGTCACCACGACAATCTGCGAATTCATCTCGACCGCTGTTTCGACTCAGCAGTGAAGGTCGAGGGCCTTTATTAATTGGTCAAGTGGGGAAGAAGAGTGTCCCAGCAACTCGGTCCCACTCCTCATCCCATCTCAATTTCCCCTCCTCAACAGCGCCCTTTTTCAATCGTCTCAACAACTCCTCGTCCCCACCAAACAGTTGCATCAACACTTCCTGCAAGCCTTCTGCATCACTGAAGCTCTTCCCATTCACCCCTTCATGCAGGAGCTCTGGCCACGCCTCGAAATCCCCCCACCCCACAACTGGCAACCCAGTTCCAAACATATCTACCACCTTCATCGGTAAATCCACACCGCTGCTACTCGTGTGCAAACTCACGCCCAGGTCGGCTGAGCCAAGTAGCTCAGCATAATCGGAAGTGCTAAGAAACGCAGTTTCGATGGTCACCATCTCGAGTTTCTCTTCTGCTTTCAAGCTCTGTATGCGGGTTAGGAAGGCATCTTTTTGCGGGCCGTTGCCCGTTACTACGACCAACACCTCTGGGAGATGAGGATGTGTGGTTATTGCCAAATCAGAGTAATTGGTCAGTGCCTCGAGAAGGACGGAGAAGTCTTCGTCAGGCGTCCAGGATGTTGAGCTGACTAGGAGGCGCGATTTGCTCATTCTGATTTCGGAGACGAGGCGCTGGTAGTCTTGTAGCCTTTGGTCATCATCTGGACTGAGAAGATTCGGCAAGGTGGCGAGGAAGCTAGAGCGCTGCGCTTCGGTAAGGACTTGTAGGTGGGATGCTGGACGGTCGTGGAGAGGTAAGATCTTCGTTGTGATGCCATAATCTCGTTCTAGGACTCGTGCCATGGCATTAGTCACGCAGAAGTGGGCTTCGGCAGAGCGAGCGAAAAGCTGTTCGTACAGACGTGATATCTGGACAAGTGGATGCGTGCTTCCAAGTCTTAGGGCAAGGATGGAGTACCCGAAGTTGTGCCAATCGATTACGAGTCGTGTATGGCGAAGGAAGCAGACGACATACGCGACGATAAGGGTGGGTATCGAGGGAGGATTTTGAACAAGCATCCATCTGGAGGGTTTGGTCCTGTATCCGAGAGCAAGCCATAAAGTCCAGATTTGAAAGAGTACTTTCAACGGCCCATATACCAAGAAGAGTCGACTGTCTTTCGTCTGGAGACAAGCGGGAGTAGGATGAAGGGCATGTACTCTGATTGCATTGGAATTTGCAAGTATATCCGGATGTATGTCAGACACCCGATATCCAATGAGGTCCACCTGTGCCCCATGTTTGGCTATGCTCAATGCATGATACTGCATTCGAGGACTTCTGCCAATGTCGCCCAGGACTATGATTTGGATCCTGTTGGCACTACGATCCTTGCCTATGATGCCACCGTATTGGGTTGGCAGATTGAATAGGACGAGGGAAGAAATGGCGAGGATTATCACCAGCCCTAGAAGCCAGCTTTCCAAGTCGAACATGAGGGGCAATTTCTGAAGAACAGTAGCAGAAGCAGAAACAGAGATCAGAAATTGTCTGCATTTTAAAAATGAATGCCCCTGTTCATTTGCATGGTCCTGTTCCAGAATAGTAGATTACTAGATTGCCTAATTGCCTGATTTGTAGGCCTTGGCGGGGGGGGGTTCAGGGTCTCCAAATAGCCTTTGGCTCTAATTTAGACTTCAGGGTAAAGTACAATCGTGAATGGTTGCGGGCCGACAATTTTCCTAGCTTCCCGACATTGTTGCCCCTGAAATGAGATTGAACCTTCCCCTAAACGGTCACCCATTGTGATCCTGCAAACATCAATGTCACTAGCAGCGACATCATTCGGACCCTAGCAGAATCTGCTTGTTCCTCGACCGTGGCTTCCTATTCTTCACAATTAAATTTTAGCAATGATACCCAGAGAGTAATGAGAATATCGCGAAGGAAGGTGCTTTGCAATGGCAACTACCTACGCCCTCCCCCCCAGTAATGGCCATGCTGGGCATGGACATAGCCACTCGCACGGCAGGAAGTCTGCAACGGAGAGACTTCCTCTACAGCCTACATCGACCAACGGAGGACTTCACGCCAACAGCGCAGCTATCTCCTCCAACTTCCTCAAACCTCAGATGCAACATCAACCACACAAGTCAATAGACGTCTTCTACGATTCGAATCAGCAATCCTACATATCGAACCAACAGCGGCCAAACAGCTTGCAGCTTCCTACGCCCACCTCCTTCTCCACTCCTACAATCGCTAGATCTAAGAGCATGGAGAGACGGAAGAGTGTAGGGCTCCCAACACACTTGCGCCTAGAAAGAAATGGATATGGTTTTCCTCCTCCCAGCAGCCAGCAATTCCCGAAAATAGATGAAGAAGTTGCAACAAGGTATACCTACCCAGCCATGCATGGCCTTTGCCTGGACTTGGCTGACACTTAGTAGCTCAAAATGGATGACCCTCAGCGAGCTTCTCAATTCGATACTCGTGCCTCTACCATATGTCCTTGCTTCTCTAGCCTTCACATCGCTCGTCGCCCCGCGAGGTTCTTTCGATGGCCTACCTCTATCAAGTTTCAAGGCCCCAAAGATCCCAGTCTTGCTGGAGATAAGCACTCTCACATCCTTGACGCTCGTGCTTGTTGGTTTCAGAGGCAAGCTCGGAATAATGTCAGCGACGGGATTGGATAAGAGGAAGAAATCTCTGACTGGGACGGAAGAGGTGCAAAAGACTCAGTGGATTCATATGGCTCGTAGGATTGCCGCAAGGTTCCTGACCGTGGGGTTGCCATTCTATGCCACATCAAAGCTTGGAGGCGCTCGTGTCTCTTTGGTCATGCTCACAGCGCTGGCATCGAATATCATGACGGTTGATGAGGGAACTACAGATCTCACACGGGCGAAAGGCTGGAGTAGGCTGCTGACGCAACGACGGTGGACCCTGGCGTCAATTCTCCTACAGCTCCTATCAGATCTCACAGGAATCACCAATTCTTCGGCGGCTGTTGAGATTCTCCTGGGCTACATCACTCTTGGTATAACTGTCTTCGTTCTGCCACCTTGTTTTCTGTCCTCTAGGCCTAGGGTCTCTGTGGTTACCTCCACCGCTCCTGCATCGGAATCAAAAACTTCAGCAGTCCTTGCGACACCATGGGAAATACCCCCACAACTGGAAGACAGGTCTTCCAAAGTGCTTACAATGTCGCCGATGATATGTTCTCCGGAAGACGTCAACCTAACTTTCTATAGTGGTATTGTACTGGGAATATCAAGTGCCATATTTTTCGTCTTCTTTGGGCCAAGCGCTGGCACTGCGTCCGAACACCAGCTAGCCTGGACCTTGCTTTCTACATTCGCAACGGCTCTTGCTTTGACAACGGTAGACCCAAGAAGCCTACGAAGCAACAAGAAATTTGGCCCTGTTCTTGGGTCACTTCTATCCTCCTTCGTCTTAAACATGCTGTGCAGTGAGGCGTGGAGCTCGTTAGCTTATCAGTGCTTTTTCATTGGCATTTCCTTCGCGGCTACGAAATTTGATACCCCTAAGGCGTTTTCTGTTTCATCACGTGCAGACCACCATCAACATCACCATCAGCCAACGAGGCTAAACATTCCAGAGCACGCCCAGATGTCAAGATTCTCCGAGTTTGTGTTTCGGCATATACCCCATTGGCCGTTGCTCCATAGTATCCTTGCTGAAAAAGATTCTCGGCGGATATTCTACTTTATGTGGTAAGTCAGATCCGGAATCTTCCTTCTGAGTGTACCGCTGCTGACTATTAGTGCAGTCTGAACTTCGTTTTCATGATCGTTCAAACATTTTATGGAATAATGACCGGATCCTTGGGTCTACTGAGCGATAGTATCCACATGTTCTTCGACTGCTTAGCACTTGTGGTGGGTCTATGCGCTGCAGTGATGAGCAAATGGCCCCCTAGCACCAGGTTCCCTTATGGATATGGCAAGATGGATACCCTTGCTGGCTTCGCTAATGGCATTTTCTTGATGTGGGTCAGCTTTCCGACAGTTTAGTCCTCAACGCTAACCATGCATCAGGCTCATCAGCATCGAGATCGTCTACGAGGCACTTGAGAGATTGGCTGGGGGCAACCAAATTCATAATCTTGGAGAGCTACTGACTGTCAGCACCCTCGGCCTGCTAGTGAACATTATTGGCATGACCGCCTTCGGCCACGCACATCATGGGCATGGGCACTCGCACGGCGGACATGACCATTCAGATCATTCCAATGAAGGTCACCAGCATGAAGACGGCCATCCACACCATGATCATTCTCATCATGACCATGCCCATCACGATCAATCTCATCCCGACCATGCTCATCACGATCATTCACATCACGACCACACCCATAACGATCATTGCCATCACGATCACTCCCCTCCAAGACACGAACACCCTTCTCACAGCGCTCATGGCCATGACCACCTACATGATCATCTTCACACGGGGCCAACCCCGAGTCCCTCGCTCTACCCCTCTGTACCATCAACTCCTTCCAAACCTCTTAACCCGGTCTCCCATGCTCACAGCCACGGTTCCCATGGTCATGGGCACCATCATCACGGCAACGAAAACATGCACGGGATATTCTTGCACGTCATGGCCGACACTCTCGGCTCCGTCGCCGTAGTCATATCCACCATCCTTATCCACTTCTACGGCTGGTCGGGCTTTGATCCTCTGGCTTCTTGCCTCATTGCTATCCTCATCTTCGCCTCCGCCATCCCTCTTGTTACGTCTTCTGCCCGCACCCTTCTGTTGACCATTCCGGATGATACCGAGTATGATTTACGAGAGGCTTTGGCAGGTTTGAGTAGTCTGAGAGGTGTCGTCGGCTACGCTGTACCCAAATTCTGGCTAGAAGAGGGTGAGAATCGGAAAGTTCTGGGAGTCATTCACGTTATTGCTGGCAAGGGCGCGGACTTGGAAGATGTGAAGGAGAGAGCAATTGCCTATCTAAAGAGCAGGCACATGGACGTAGTGGTCCAGGTGGAGCGAGAAGGGAGTGGCAGGTGTTGGTGTCAAGCTGTGAAGTGAACAAGGTCGGGTTGAGAATTCGGAATAACGAGTCCACCAGTCAGCGTTTAATGATATCCAAAAGGCATGGTTTGCATATACGCCCACCCACATGTCGTTGAGCATAGATAGGGGTGTACAATAGCTCATTTTCCCAATGATTTGTGACGTCCGTGTCTGCGGACGCATGAGATTATCGCATGTCTTGAGCTTAAAAGCCATTCGCCTAAACGATACGAGGCTCCCTTTTTTCAGCACCGATTCGGGTGTTCCAGAGGGACGAGATGTTCCCTGTGTCCGCCCTCCCTGTTATCCCATCAAAAGACGGCACGTAGCAGGCTGAGCTCCGGTGATGGAATCAGGCGCGAAGGCGGACCCGAGGAACCTCGACTACATCTCACCACCAACCGCCTCCACGCATTCCCGGATCGATGCACGATTCGCCCCGTGTAGACTGACCGTCCGTCCTAGGTCCAGCCATTCATTCTGGAGCGTGCTATCTATCTATCTACCTATCCCGGCCTTGCCTTGGCCGGGTGCGTGCGAACGAGAAAGGGAAAAGGCTCGAGCGAGTCGGAGGCTGGTCGGAGAAGAACAACGTCACGGTCCCCCGGGTTCGCCACGTCGCCGGTTGATGTTTTAGTCGGCGGGCGGATGGGGAAGAGAAGGGACGAGAATGTGTGGAGACTGGTTCCCGAGAGATGAACGATGGGTGTTTTGGCCAATGGCGGATATTGGCGATGTTGTGTTTTCGTTGAGATTTTGCTCGGGTGAGTAGGGGTGTGTATTGAGGTTAGCGGTTCTAAACTTCTATCTATTTTTTCCCTTCTTCTTTCCATGCACTCTTTCTTCGTATTTCCTTCCTGCACTCAAGCTTGGAACCTTTCCAACTTCTCATAAGCTTTCGGAACAGCTTCCGTCCCATCCAGGTTAGGTCCGCAACGTGTGACCATGCCTTCATCTAAGCAGGTGAGTAAAGTATGTATTTCCCATCCTGACATTTTTGACGTTGGGATCCCAAGGGCAAGAAATCCCAGCAGCCGCCGTCCCAGCAGTCCCAAACGGAGCGGTCGACGCAAGGCACCTCTGCGAGCACGCGGCCGATACAGCTTCCACCAGAACCGCCGGTGCAAACACTCCCTACGCGCAAGCGGGCCCGGGAACCTTCTCCGAAGCAGCTGGTGCAAGAGCAAGAGAACGCTAAGGGCAAGCAGGTCGAGCAGCCAGTACAAGTAAATACCAAGGGAAAGCAACCGGAGCAGCCTCGGCCTCAGCAACCTGTTCAAGCCGACCCGAAGGGCAAGCAACCGGAGCAGCCTCGGCCTCAGCAACCTGTTCAAGCCGACCCGAAGGGCAAGCAGGTTGAGCAGCCGGTACAAGTAAATACCAAGGGAAAGCAACCGGAGCAGCCTCGAGCCCAGCAACCTGTTCAAGCCGACCCGAAGGGCAAGCAGGTTGAGCAACCGGTACAAGCAAAAACTAAGGGGAAGCCAACGGAGCAGCCTCGATCCCAGCAACCTGTTCAAGCCGACCCGAAGGGCAAGCAAGTCGAGCAACCGGTGCAAGCCAGTTTTAAAAGCAAGCAGCCTCAACAAGCCTCGCCCGAACAATCGAAGCATCCCTCCGTCAAAGGCAAACAACCTCAGAAATCATCGTCCGAGCAACAGCAGCAAGTCACATCTGCCCAGCAGCCTCGACCCAGGAAGGCCATCCTAGCCAACGCCAATCCAGTGTACCTAGGGAGCCCAAAGGTCTACATCGCCCGCATACCCTGGAACAGGAATGCCAAGCGAAGCACTATGCATCGGGTCGAAGTATCCCTGATCCCCGTCAGTTACTTCCGCCACCCGCAGACCTTATTCTTCAAGAACCTCCCCGATGTTGAGCGGTACTGGGGCTTCCTCAACGATGCCGCCACGACGGCGCAGAGAATCGTCAGGTTGGAGAAGGACGGCCAGCCTATGCCTTATTTCCTGCTCGTGTGCAGAGGGGAATATCCGAAAGTTACATCCCCACGGAACGACAATGCCCTTTTCGCGGCCATGCACGAGCCGATCTTCGGTGACGCCTTCGTGTTCAAATTGGAAGACCCAGAGGTTGACGAGGACGGTTATGCGAGATATGCCCATATTGAAAAGGACGTTGGTAGCATTGACTGGCTTCCGGAGGCGATCAAGGACGCTGCTAGGAAGGTCGAATATGCCATGTCCCCTACAGCGAACCCCGGATTTCCAGATCTGGCGAACTATGCAGATCGGGAGACGATGATGGAGGACGTCCAGAAGATGTACCGTTGGATTGAGGCGATAAGGAAGGCCAATAGAAAGTACGAGAGTGCTATGGCCGTTGACGCAATATCTGGATTGCCTGATCTTGAGAGGATGAAAGACGCGATTGTCAAATTGACGAAAAAGGTTGATGGTTGGAAAAGGCAGAGTATTTTACCCATTGACGGAGTTTCCGAGCCGTCAGATTTCCAGACCGTGGAGGACTTCGTTCACAAGAAAGTGCCCGACGCTTTCAAAGCGTTTGAGGACAATGCTACCGTCATCAACGCTGCCAGAAATGTGGATGGAGCTCTGTCCGCACAGAAGATTCCCGGATCCTCTGGCCTCGAGACGAGCAACGCTGTCAAAAGGGTGACGGACTCTTTTCATGCGACGAAGAAAGCTTATGGGGAACTGAAAGCTATCGCGAGTGTGAACTTTGCCAGAACCGTTGTCAACAATGAAGCTTCGAGAGCTCACGAAATACCCGCAGTGATTGATCTGAATGTGCTCGGACAGATGATCGACACCTTCCAGATGCAGGTTGCTATCTGGGAGAAGGACGGTGCTTTTTCCACTGACGCAAACTCCGATTTGGTAGACCGGAAGTTAATCGCTGAATTTCTCAAGAAGATCCAAGTTGCTGATCAAGCGATGAAGAAATCTAGCGACAAGCCGAAGATTGCTAGGGCCGTCATTGAAGTTAACGATGTCTTCCAAGTGATAAGGGCCAAAGTCGAGAAACTGGAAGCCTTCACGAATGTGGAAGTTGCCGACACAGTCGACGCTGCTAGGACTTCCGATGCGAATCCCGAAATGCCGGATCTCCCAGGTCATCCAGGTACTTCGCGTTACAGAGTAGAACGCTTGGATTGAGTGGAGGGCTAGGGCGCCTCCAAAGCTGAAGATGGCAAACCGGGCGAAAAGTGGTCAGAGCCATAACATTCCTCCGCGTGCCTGTGACTAGCTCGCTGTAGTGTACTTAGAGAATACTTGAGAAGGGATGTAGCGACCTGCTCTCGGGCGTGTCTTAGTTCATAAGGGTATGACGTGTTTTTCAACTTCAGTTCTAGCAGGCAAAGCCTGAATTGACCCAACGCTGAGGTCTTTGGTAATGAAACACGGCGAGGTTATGGTGGGGTTCTTCCCAATGGCTGCATTATGATTCGGATATCCTTTGCCAGAAAAGGGGGCCGGCTCGGGGTGGATCTTTGCTTTGCAATGAAGGCGAGAAATGAAGCTGAGTAGTACAACACCGATGAGACGTCCACTCAAACTTCAAGTTCAAGAGTTGTAGCATTAGCTTTGAAGAGCAATTTTCATACTGGAATTCTTGTATGCAGGCTTGTCGTGGTTGATTCGCGATCTTCGCGCGGCCCCTCATTGCGAGTAATATTTCCACCCCGAGGCCGGATCAATATCGTACAATTTTGCAAGGCGCAAAAGTTGAAAATGCAGCCATTCCTGCTGGCTTTCGCTTATATATGGTCCCAATTGCAATGACTCCTTGAAAGGCCGGAATAAGTACCATCCTCCATATGCACTGGCAGTCTTTTCGTGCTCCTTCGAATCCAAGCGCCCTTTGAGTCCAGGATAAACCACATCAGCCTGGTAAAAAGGCGCAGGCTCAGTGCGACTACCGAGGCAGAATGGTATGCTAGCGCAAATGCCATTCACCAGCTTTTCTATCTCAGTGATGATTCGTGCACCAGTTTCACCACGATCGAGGCTACTGACGAGACGAAGCTGGGCAATGAGATGAAGGATTCTGAGACGAGCGACTCGCCAGTCGTTCCATGTGCTGCAGATCATAATGTCCGGGTAAATTTCACAGCTTCCTTCGTATATTCCAGCGTCGATCACTTCCTGCGGTATGGTGTCCTTGAAGACTCGAATAGGATGCCAGTGTAAGGGCAATGTCTCGGGCCAGGACGCAAGACAAGCATCTATGGATTGTGCTCTTTCCAGCAGCCCATCTGTACGATTCAATGATTCGTCTCCATCGTCGCCTGAGCCGATGACCTTGGGAGGTGTGTGAACGGCATCAGCCAGGAGGCCTGCTACCTCGACTGACATGAGGTCCAATAAGGTTGCAGGATTTCGAGGCATGTCATCAAGATCTTCTTCCCATATTCCAGAAGCCGTATCTATCGGATATGAGAAATGGATCGCTCGGAAAACCTGCTAGCTGTCAATTTACGCATTCATCGCAATCTGCAAGAGGCTTACAATGTTATTTCTGACTGCTATCAGTAACTTTTTGGAAAGTTTCGTCATTTGATGAATGTTCTTTCGCCGTTGGATTAGTGCGGCGGCACCGTTGAAATGGGTTGCAGGCGAAATTCTGGAGTTCATGGCATTCGTTGAAGCCTGGTGTGGTCAGTGGCATAGCCTCGCATTGAATTTATTCAGCGGAGTAGCAAAGACTGCCTCTGCCCCCAACTTTTCATTCAGACTATTGGGCGTACCTCGTAGAAGCCAAGTAGACATACTGCCATCAAAGTCTCATCAGTCATGCTCTCGACTGGATCGTGCAAAGCCACTCTGGTGGCTTCCAAAGCCTTTGTGTAAGAGAGAAATGCGTAGCGTTCGGCGATACGATTTTTGCGCTCCCATTTAGCAAATAGGATATTAGACGCCGCGGATATACACAGCGACAGGGGAGATTCTACGCGCAGACTGTTGAACAGAAACGGTAGAAACTCAAGAAATCCTCGGTCAGCTGAGGTGTCTCGTCCATACAGAACGAATGTGGAGACGAAAAAGCATTGTGCGTTTGTTTCCTCCGGCTCGTAGAGGGGATGGGGCACGGCAAAGGTGGTAGAAGGCTGAGGCCTGAAGAAATCCTCGGGCGTTTGGAACCTGCTCTTGTTTTTGTGCACTCGCCTGTTGACTCCAGCCTTTGCGGCTTCGTTCTGATGGCGCAGGACAAGATCCAGTCCTTCCAAGTAGCCGGAGCAGACACGTTTGGCTTTGACACATTTGCCGCAAGCAGGTCTTGCTTCATCGCACTGATCAATATCAACAAGGGCATACTTGAGAGACAGAAGACAGAAGCGTCCAGAATTCGTTTGACCTTTACATGACGCTGCTTGCACTGCTGACAAGCCCCACTGGGCTTTCCTGTATGCGGCATGGTTCAAGAGGATTCTGCGAAGGAGCGCACCGAAGAAGCCATGATTGGCCGCTGCTGTCTAGCAGCGCCTAGCAGATATCTGTATCTGCATCATACCTTGGACGGAATGCAATGGTAGAAGACTAGTTAGAAGGTAGGACAAAGTCCCTCATGTCGACTTGTTGGCACTCATAATAATAGGTTGGCGCTACGGAAAGTCCACCCCTTTGGGTTTAGCGTCGAAAGAACATCTTTTCCTTGTATGATGTATCAGACATGGACTCGTGTTATGCGCAACGAGCCGCTGAAGTCGGGCTATGGCTGCGGAAAGTGCTCCCAGAGAGGTAATACTTGAGAATTTCTACTGAACACGACCAACGTGCGTCATCTCTTTCCTATCGTTGCGTATAAGAAGATGGATTCCTTCCATGGAAATCAGTATCATCATCTCTGTCTATTGCATTCTCACATTGACAACTACTTGCAATATTCCGTAATCTCTGCCTCTCTCGCCACTGTCTCCCTTCCACTTTTGCAACATCTGCTGCTCCCCCTCTCCCTTGTCCATATGTCCTCAAACGCCAACGTATACACCTGTGACGCCGTCACCACGAGATGTCTTGTCCAAGACTCGATCTACGGTTACTTCCCTCCCTCCCCGCCAACGCCTTCTTCCTCGCTCTCTTCATCATCCTCCTCCTCATCACCCCAACTCTATCTCGGCATCAAATACAAAACATGGACATTCACGTTCGCTCTCTCCTGCGGCTGTCTCGTCGAAGCAGTCGGCTACGTCGGGCGCCTCATTCTTCACCATAATCCATTCGCCAACATTGGGTTCATCATGCAGGGCTGCTGTCTGATCATGGGCCCAGCTTGGCTAGCCGTGGGAATCTACTTGACTTTGAAGCATATCGTCAAAGCATTCGGACCGCAGTACAGCTATCTTAAACCGAAGTACTACACTTGGCTCTTCATTGCCGGTGATTGCTTTGCTCTCAGTCTGCAGGCCGTTGGTGGAGGATTGTCCGCTGGCGCCATTGGCAATTTCAATCAACTGAGCCTTGGAAGCAACATCGCAATCGCCGGCATTATCATGCAAGTAGTGACGCTCGCAATCTTCGCCGCACTGGCGGGACTCTTCTTCTTCCGCCGACAGCTCGCCCGACGCAATGGAGTCCCAGAGAAGGAAGGAACACTAGTAAACCCTCAACTACAGACACTACGCTTCAAGCTCTTCGCCGGCGCAGTGATCATCGCCTTCTCAACCATTTTCACCCGATGTGTCTACAGGATTGCGGAGATGATGGGTGGATGGGGCAATCCACTCATGCAAGATCAGGCCGAATTCATCGCGCTGGACAGCGTGATGTGTTCTGTCGCAGCTATTGCATTGACGGTCTTCCACCCTGGCTTTTGCTTCCCGCAAATGGCGCAGTCCATCAGCTTTGGCCAAAGGAAGATACTTACCACTCTGGAGAACAATGGACCTAATAACTCTACGTCTTCTTCTTCTTCTTCTTCTTCTTCACCTGAAGTCGTCCTTGAGAAAGCTGATGTAGCAAAGCCGGGCGAGTTGTACTTTCGGTAGAATTTGCGCGGTATGTGGATGAGTCTGACTTTTTTGGCCGTAACGAACGCATTGTATTTATTCATATGTTGATGGCAACAAAATCACTCTCAATGCATCTCTTGACACGCTTCTGGCAATCTCGAGGAACTATGTGAGCTGGTTTCTACGTGACAGGAAGTCTTGAAAGCTTAGTAAAGGCAAAGAACTGTTGGGGCAGGACCTCTTCTTCCCCCATGCTCGGTCCTTCCGCAATGGCGACGAAACGACAACGAGAAAATACGCAAACATAAGCTAGAGAACACTCATGGTTTCTTTTAGACGAGTAGCCAACGCTTACTTACATCCCGTGCAGCCGCTTGGATCTAGTGAGAATCGCTGGCTGGCCTCTTTGATGTTGGTGGAGTCTGAATCAAGCCACCGCTCTGACTGAAAGCATCAAGTTGGCATGAATTGGATGGATCGTCAAGCGCTTGTATAGAGCTCTGTCTTGAGCTATGAGTCAGCTCTATAGTCACGAAACAAAAAGCTCGAGTGTGGAAATATAGATTGTACAGCGTGTGTGACAGGCCATAGCTCAGTATCTGGCGAGACTGTTGTTGAACATGTTTTTGTTTCTAGGAAGACAGGAGCGCGGCAAACCACGAAGAAAATGAGAAGAAAATGAGATGTGCCGTATCAGACACAGTCCATGTTCTAGGCCTAGCTATCTACGATATTTGACCGACGAATCTAGGCAAATTTGTGGATGTTACTAGAGAACGAAGTCTTTCACCCAAAGTGTGTAGCGAAAGCGAGAATCTTCGGCTTCGTGGCCATTGTAGCAGCGAAAATAATCCTTGCATCAGTCACTTGCTCACAGGGCAGCCGTTATGTGCGTCTTCTATCGCCATGCGCAAAGGCATGAGCTTTGCACTACTGATTAAGAGATTGAGACCTCGAACTTGGGGCTCTAGAAGCTGACTCCGTTCAAGTTGTACCTCATACTTACCATAGTTACGGGGGACGAGCGTCTTGATATTCTGACAGCAATGAGATCTGGGCGCAGCCGATGGCTGAAATGGTTGGCAGTGAACTTAGTTTCGGTTCAGGCTTCTGAGCCGCCGTCCACATATATGCCTGTAAGGACTTTCAGCATGATTCGTTGATGGAGACAGTCAAGCCTGAGCAACGCCGCATGCTAGGACCTTTGAAACAGGAAGGAACGTCTCTAAAACCAACATCCACTTGCGGCATTTTCTGTACTCAAGCACCGCATAATAGCTCGGTGCGACCGCTTTGATTCGTCCAGGTCGCATCCGCGGAAACGTGTGGAGGACCATCTCTAAGCGGATGAAAAGCTCTGTTCAGGGCTAGCATCCGTGTCATAAAAGGTGCGCCTGCACACTCGAGTATTCAGTTACAGGAACGGTAGACAGCTCGGCCACCAAGCTGAACAGGTGGCAATCGCGATGGCGATGGATTTGGTGTGCTCGAAAGGGTATAAAAGATGATGAAGCACATTCGACAAGTACACAACAACCCCCCAGCCATAGCTATCCTAATCATTAACCCCCTCTGCACCCCTGAGCCCCCGCCATACGATTGTGGCAGTTGCAGATTATGACACTCCTATGAGTTTGCATTTTGCAGCAAAGGGTATCTTGGTCCTTCCATGCAGCCAACTTAGCAGCTGATCCTCACCTTCATTTCAGTATTTGCTGGTATTTTTCCTGCTGTCTCTGCTGCAGGCACTTTGACTTCCCCAAGCTCGTAAAACGACACAATGGGCGAAAGGACAGCGAGCGGCATGAGGGATTAACTTTTCGCTTTTGCGATGAGGGCACATCGCATCTTTTTCCGGAGTATACGAAAGATGAAGTGAGATAATAAAGCTGATCTCTAGTGTTCGTTGGGAATTCGACGCCGAAAAACTTGAATCCCATATATAGATAACGGTGAGTCTCTCGCAATCGATTGCACTCAAGATGAACACACACAGAATGCGAGTCCATCGCGAGTCAGGCTTGTATTCAGTCCACAATGAAACGCGGGCAAGCTGCGAGAAAAAGGCCAGTTGAAGGAAGGATTCATGAACAGCCCTAGAGAATACAGCAACCTACTGATGGTGCAGAGATTGCCAATCAGGCGAACGCCCTGGCCGACCAAATTTATTCTCGAGTAGTTCTATTAGCACATTATCGAACGTTTTGATCTGCTCCGTTCAGTTCATCGCAACTGCCAACAATTCTGTTGGTCTAATAATAGCCAGACCTCCGTAAATTTAGCGCAGGGTCCAAGTCGCTCGACCAATGAGATCAGACTGCGCCTCCCGGCTCAGAGGTTGGACCGACCTCCGTAACACAGCTGCCTGGACTCCTTCGTTCTTTCCTCCTACATAATCTGTTCATATTGCCTCTCCATCTCACCTCGAACAACGATATACTACCTCACACTCATCATTAGGCCCTATTGATCTCAAAGAAAGACGTCCCACCGCAGCCATGACCGCTGGAATGGCTCATCATCTTGTCAGCCGCGCTATAGACGTCACCCAGCAGCACTACAACGGCAACGACGCAGAACAGACACTTTACAAGTTCCACTGGGCCGCCGTGCTCATCTTCGCTACCGTTGCCCTCTACTTGGCCGTGATCTCCATGGTAAGTGGTCTAGCATCACCCTCAGTAGCGAACGACCCGCAAGGCTAACTTCCACCACCAGATCTCCTACACCTATGGCGATGTCGTAGCAACACTTACCATCATCGAGACTCCCACCGCCACAGCCTTCAAGACTGAATACTCCGACTCCGATGAAATCGACGCACCTCTCATCTCTCAAGACGAGAAATCCGAGAAGGCCAAGGTCATCGAATCCGACCTCTTCCTCGTCAAGCAAAAGCCCATCACATCCAAAATGCGCACAACCATCAAGCACCTCCGCGCCCAAGCCGGCCCTCTAGCCCGTTTCCGTGGTCTCCACGTCTCAATCATCTATCACATTCTGCACGGCGGCGTCGTCGGCTTCTTCAGCTCCCACGTCATCAGCCACCCTGTCGCTCGCCCCTTCATTGCCGTCTTCGCAAGCATCGCGCTTTGCCGTCTTCAAATGACCTGGACCCACATCGTCATCTCTAACCGTAGCAGCAAGAGCTGGTTCCGCCGCATCCCCTCCAGGACTGCTGTTAGGAACATCCTCATTCCCACCGCTGTCTTCGCCATCGCCGAACAAGCTACAATCTACGTGCCAGGCGCTCTTTTCCTCCTTGCTGCCCAGGCTTTCAATGAAGAGGCCCGTGAAAATGTCGCTCGCGCGCAGAATATTGCCTTGCTGCAGATGTTCCTCATCGGTCTCATCGGCATTGGCATCTTCGTTCTTGTCGTCATCCCAGCCGACGTCACACTCAAGCGTGTCCAAGCTTCCATGCTGCCTGAGGAGGATGAGGCTATTGTCCTCTTCGACCGCACCTTCGGTGGCAAAGTCAAACCGGAGATTTTGGGCGGCAGCGGTGCCGTGTCGATGCTTGATGCTTGGAAGTCCTTTGACGGATCTGCAAGGATCAGGCTGATGAAGCTCTACCTCAAGGTCTTCCTCATCTCCGTCTTTACTACCATCATGTTCATCATGGTTTTGGTTGGAGAGCTCCGGTTGATCATGGGCGACAAATTCAATGGATTGGCTGGAAAGGCGCATGAGGGCCTCCAGCAAGTAAGAGCCGGAAGCCCCATGTTCTAGAAAAATAGGAAGGCAATACCTCCACGCTCTCTCGTCCTATTGGAGTTGCAGGAAAGGCTGAATGATGACTGGTAGAGTTGAAGAGGGGGCGGGGTGATGAAATAGTAAAGGAGTTGGGACAGAATTGCGTATGAGGGAAAGGAGCACAGTCTTTTCACAGTGTAGTCTAAGCACATGCAAGAGCGTTTGATTTTCTCATCATACATTCGACTGCACAACGAACCCCCTCCATCCACTCCCACCCCTATACCCATCCAACCCGCCATTAACCTCGCCCTTATCCAATCCCTCCACTATTCCTACCTACGTGGATCCCAAGTCCCCTTCTCCACCCCACCTCAGCAGCTCCTTCCGAAACCCCCTCCTCAACAACCTCAAGCCTGATTGATCCCACTTACAAGCCTCGCCCTTACACACAAATCTAATATATCCAAACCGCAGCCTCTGCTCCCCCATCAACGGCCTGCAACACCGAGACTACATACGCTCTACACCTCCATAGCCCAAAGCGTCACGTCGTTCGAATTCAAACCGTCACCGGTGCGGAGTCGTATACATATACGGCGTGGGGTTGAGCTGCCAATTTTCAAGAACCGGGCATGGAAGGAAGGGGGTGCGGGGGGTGGGCGGAGTTGCTTTACATGGGGGAGAGAGAGAGGGAGAGAGAGAGAGAGAGAGAGAGAGAGAGAGAGAGAGAGAGAGAGAGAGATGGATGCTACTTTACGCCGAAGACGATGGTGATATGTTGCGGGTTCGGCCGCAACGGAACCGCCGCTCTAATGCCGGGCACCCGGTACATGACGAATGATTGGCGGCGGGGTCTGTGGCCTTTGGGGGGAAAGTGCCGACCATGGGGTTGGGATGCCGATGCCGATGCCGGGTATCCGGTACATGACGATGATTGGCGGCGGGGTCTGTGGCCTTTGGGGAAGGTTTTCGACCATGGGGTTGGGATGGCGAAGGGGGAGGGTGAAAGAGAAGGGAAGAGGAGAGGAGAAGAGAAGGGAAGAGACGAGGAGAGGAGAGAGCGTTGATGGATGAGGTCGCTCGCTGCGTTCATGACCGAGGGAATGGGGGGGAAGGTGATGAGTTGATTGGGCGGCTGGCTGGCTTTTCTTCCCATTGATGGGAATGGAAGGAGATACTGAATGAAACGTACAAGAGATCCGCGCTAAGATTCCCGATTGATTTTTTGAGGAGGCTAAAGGACGGAGGTCGGCACCAGGAGTCCACCGGTCCTGCTTCTTTCGGTCAACGAGGTGGGATTGCGTCGGCCGGGGAATTGAAGGAAAGTCAGTTTCGTGTCCGACAAATGGTATATGATTCATTACACCGCCCTGCAAATTGCGACTTCCTGATCCGCGGACCACATTTTGTCCGCTTGACTACTGCTTACCTCCCTTCCCTTCCAACCAACGACCCTAATAAGTCGCCTTGCTCGACTTCCGTATCCGCTCACCATACTTGTAGAAGATCCACGGGATCGGACACCCGGCCAGCGCGATGAATGCCAGCAAGCTGTTACCCCAGCCTATACCCAACGCCTGATACATCTTCGGCCCGGCCAGAGGCAGCGTCGCGCCAAAGATTGATCTCATCACCGCATTCGCTGCGGTCGCACTGGCGGCGTATTCGGTGAATGCGTCCACCATGTAGGTCAGAGTGCATACCAGGGTGACGAGGAGTCCGATGCCGAAGAAGCCGGTGCCGATGATTGGTACGATCCAATGAATCGCATACCTCGCCGACCAGCCGTAAAGAAAGAGGCCGATGGGCACGGTGAAGGCCGTCCAGACCATCGGTATGAGTCGATACTCGGGCTTCAGTTCCCCACTGGCTGCTTTGGCCAAGAGGATCTTGTCTGAGAAAACGCCAAAGATGACCAATCCGATGATGTTTCCGACGCCGAGGCCGAGGTATACCAGTCCGGTTATCCCAATCGAGAAGTGATAGTAGGTCCCAAAGACCACGGGGAAAGTCGTGAAGAGCAGGTAGAGATAGCCGTACACGACGGCCATGAAAAGGGACAGGAGGAAGATGATCGGCGAGAAGACCAGCATCTTGATCGGACGTATGAGGGTATTGCGCCAGAGCTGGCGCGTTGTGAGACCCTGATCGAAGACAGATCGCAGAGCCTTGTTTCCGGTCTTGAGCTGGAGAGCGCGCGTTTTGCGAGCCATGATCACGACACCGTAGGTCTCTCGCATGAAGACGAAGTTCATGAGCGTGATTGATCCCTCCTTGTTGCGTTTACAACCGTCAGTTGTGATGACCAAAGCCCATCGAAGGTACAGTCAAACGTTAACCGAGATAGAACGGCTCACAATCATCAGAAGCAACCACATAAGCCATCTCCATCCCTTGGCCCCTGTCAGGAAACCACCAGCGACCGGTCCAAAGATTGGTCCCAGCGTCGGGCCCAGAGCATATATACCCATGTACTTTCCACGCCGCTCCTGCGGGATGAGGTCTGAGATTGTGCCTCCACCAATCGCCAGTGGTGCCGATCCTGCGCAGCCTTGGAGGAATCGAAGACCGATGAGGCTATTCATGCTTGGGGCGAGTGCGCAGGCGACGGTGAAGGCTGCAAAGATTGTGTTGCACGAGTGATATAGCGGCAACCTCCCATACATTTCGGACAATGGCGCTATCACCAACGGCCCAGCCGCAAAGCCGAGCAGGTATATTGAAACCACAAGAGACCCAAGCTCCTCGTTCGTTGACCGGAACTCGGCCATGATCTGCGGTATTCCTGTAGCGAGGATGGAGGATCCCAAAGGGCTGCCGTCATAAGATGTTCAGTGGTCCATCAAGTGAGATTGGTTTCCGTGGAGGTTGAGACTCACCTAATGAAAGTAATGGCGCTGACAAGGAAGATATGCGTCTTTACCTTCCACGCCGGCCAGTTCATTGGATTCTTCGGATCATCCGGACCATCCCAGTCGACAGTGTTGGAATCTCCGACTTGATCCTCACTCTTCTGGTCCCTGCCTGATGCTTGAGAGCTTGCGGAAACATTGGCTTCAAGGTCGGCTTTTTTTGGGACAAGTTCAATTTGGTCAGTCGAGATATTATCGGCTTTTCGTTCACTGTGATCCTGCAGTTCATTGAGCTCTATGTCGCCAGCTTCCGAGTCCAAATTGGATTTGGAAAAGACTGAGACTGAGCTGTCGTTGAAGCCTGTGACCGGAGCACTGAAAGCCTTTGCGTCTTCCATCTCGACCGCCAAAACACTTATTTTACGTGGTTGGCTTCAAGTTGGCCTGTGGCGAAAAAAAAGTTCGAAGCACAGCCGAGAGCCGATGGTCACCTCGTGCCAGCGCAAAGATCTCACGAAGAAAAAGTGGGCGATAGCATGTGCTACTGCTGCGACCCACAACTCCCACGTTCCTCCGATCAGATCTATCCATGACGACACCACAACAAGTACAAGCTCATCTACCCAAAAGTCCGACCACAAAGGACAAGATCTTCCACGGGGTCCGTGTCCAAGGATTCAAGCCACAATCACTCATGCATGCAGATTCGACTTGGTGAGATAAGAGGAGAGCCTATCGCTTTGCCTTGTGATATTGTATGTCTTGTTTCCGTTCTTACATGCATCCATCAAAGCGCGTATGTATGCATGACAGACAGATCATCACGGCTTCGAGATTCAACACTGTCCAGCCAATATTCACGAGGCTTACAGGTATCTTGATCCCGCCAATCCAGGGTTCAGAAATTTCGCAGTCGTAACCGAGCGGGTTGCTAGGTGGCTCGAGCCTCGAATCAGGCAATATTTGGCCCTGCATCAAGTGAAAAGTCGCCTAAAAGTCGCCTAAAAAGTCAACTGAAAGACAAGGCCGAGTTGGGGCGATTGGCGAACCGGAAGAAATGGTTTCTTGACAGACATCGGAACACGGGGAATTTAAAGCTTCGGCCCGTGAGCTTAACCCTCGGTGCCTACTATCGCGCCGAAAGCCGATAGTAGGACGCGCCAAGAAGCGCCAACACACCCCAAGACACACGGGGGCATTTTTAAACGAAAGTTATTCTAGACGACATGTCTTGTTGGTAAGATTCTCCTTTGGGATAGTGCTTCTTATAATGGTGGTGTAGATGGCGGTGGTGATGGTGGCATTGGCGGTGTTGGTGGAGGTGATGATTATGAACACGATTGTGACCATGATGGTGCTGTATGACATACAAGGAACTGCGGGTTCGAGATGTCTTTCGTTCATCCCTTTTCTCCGCCGCTCAAAGCGCGATTTTCTCGCATCCAATCTTCCCCTGCACAAGCCAAAGTAATTTGGTCTATTGGGAACTATAGGATTATCTCCATTATCCCCGAATTTAAGCCTGCGTGTTAGCCAGAAAGTTTTCTGTTACAATGACTTCCACTGCTCCTCTACCTCCCCCGCTGCACCGCCTTGACGACCAACCTGACAATTTAATCGCTTCTTCCGACGTGAACTGGCTTTTGAACGGAGCCATGGACCAGGAAGACGCCAAAATGCCACCTCAACCAGAGACCAATCTGGAGACCACCGCGACAAACGGCCATACGATCATCCCACCGCTCCAGCCCGAAAGTAAACCTGTGAAAGACAACAAAGCGGTTCCTTGGTAGGATTCAGTCTCTTTACCTCGGCGAATTCTTTTGCCCTGTATCTCATCGTACATTCCATTTTGTTTGCTGAGGAAGCCAGGTACCATACCTCACTCGCAGAGATTGACCCCGTAACCCGCGACCTCCTGGAAAATTACAGCAAGATCCCCTCGGATCAAGTGAAGCCGCACGTATTCGCAATCGTACGTTTCCCTTCCTCTCCCACTCTCCATCCGCCAAACCCCATCCATCTTTGCCCACCACCACCACCACCGCTAACGCCCGTTCTTTCCCCCTCCCTCCAGCGCGAAAAGGCCTGGGACGTCTACCCCTACCCCTGCATCGGGCAGTTCCTCTTCCTGAACCTCACCATCAACCTCTCGCCCTACTACCCGACCCTCGTCGCCCGCCTCCGCGACCCGGCCCACACCCTCCTGGACCTGGGCTGCTGCTTCGCGCAGGACGTGCGCAAGCTCGTCGCCGACGGCGCCCGGGGCGAGAACCTCTACGGCGCGGACCTGCACGGCGAGTTCCTCGAGCTGGGCTACGCCCTCTTCCGCGACCGCCGCACCCTGCGCGCCACCTTCTTCCCGGCCGACGTCCTCGACCCGCGCGACCTGCCCCTGCGCGGCCTCGACGGCGAAATGGACGTCGTCTACCTCGGCCTCTTCCTCCACCACTTCGACTTCGCCACCTGCGTCCGCGTCTGCGTCCGCGTCGTCCGCTTGCTCCGGCCCCGCGCTGGCAGCCTCGTCATGGGCGTTCAGGTCGGCGCCCTCGTCGCCGACGAGGTGCCCATCCCTATCCCCAGCGGCGGCGTCCTCTTCCGCCACGACCTCGCCAGCTTCGCCCGTTTGTGGGAGGAGGTGGGGAGGGTCACGGGGACGGAGTGGCGCGTCGAGGCGAGGTTGGAGCGCGCGAAGGGGTTCGGGGAGAAGTGGCAGATTGAGGGGACGAGGCGGTTGGGGTTTGAGGTTTGGAGGCTTTGAGGGAGGGGGTGGGGGTTCTTTTCTGGTTTGTTGGGTGGTTGGTTGGTGTGTTGTATGTACCTTAACTTGCCTATCCGGGGGATCCGCTGCGCGTGGGGGATGGGGGTCGGGATTCAACATCGCGCGCGCGAGAGGCGGGGTTCGGGGCACGTGTCGGGTTCGGGATGATTGCGATTGCGATTGCGATTGTACTTGTGATGGTGGAACACAATTGAGAAAAGTCGGTTGGGGAGAGAATTATCAATGAGCGAACGCCGGACATACATGCGCATCCGTAGTCCCCCTTTTTCTTTTCTTCCCCCTGGGGCGAACTTTAGCGCAAGCGACCGGAAAAAAACCCAACCCCTCTTCCCCCCGCTGAGTACTCGGATGCTACGTATGCATGTTGCGTTGGCGGGGGGGAGGGGGGGGGTTCGCGGTAAGCGGGACTGTATATGTGTGCGATAGTTTACGATTGCGTGCTAAAAGACTGGGATGCTCGATGCGTCCACGGGGGCCACGGCGGAGTGTCGTGGGTGAGCTTCCGGGTTCAAAAGTTCCCCGATGGGCGGATCTACGATGACAGGGTGGGGGGAATACGTTGAAGGTGACAGGGCGGGGGGAATACGTTGAAGGAAAGGAAAGGAAAGGAAAGGAAAGGAAAGGAAAGGAAAGGAAAGGAAAGGAAAGGAAAGGAAAGGAAAGGAAAGGAAAGGAAAGGAAAGGAAAGGAAAGGAAAGGAAAGGAAAGGAACGGAAAGGAAAGGAACGGTGTCGTACAGGCATCGAAAGTTGGTAGTGTGCCCGAAGGTTTTTAATTTTCGGTATGATTGGCTTTTGAATGAAAAGAGACGGGACAGCATCATCGATTGAATCCACACCGCCGCTACGGTGCCGGCTGGCTATTGAGCTGCGCTGTCAGAAAATCTTCCTCACCCCCACCCTCCGCGATGGGCGCAGCGGTCGTACATACATACATACATACATACAAAAAGAGCGTCTCTGGCTATGATTCTCTGCCCCATGAATCGGAATCGACGCTTCGATCGTCGCTATTCCGGCTTCCCGACCGGGCGCAACCGCACCAGCAGGGGTTTCTTGTCCCACTGGATCCAGCTGTCCTGCTCGTCCCAGTCTTGGCAGTCGGCGGAGAGGTGCATGTCGAAGCTCCAGAGCATGCGGGCGAGGATGAGGCGCATTTCGAGGTATGCGAGACTGTTTTATTTTATTTTAATGTTATTGATACTTTTCGAGCGGGGAAGAAAGACAGATGCGGATGATTTGACTTACTTTCTGCCGATGCAACTACGTGGACCGAGAGAGAAGGGCTGGGAGGCTTCTTTGTTATCGGTCGCGAATTCCTTGTCGCCGAGCCAGCGTTCCGGGATGAAGACGTCTGGATCTTTGAAGTTGGTCGTGCTGCGGTGAGCCGCGTGGGTGCTGACTTGGACGTAGGTCTGGATCGAAGGGGGTTTAGCAAGCGCTGTCAGATGGATGGATGGTCGTGACTTACGCCGCCCGGAACCCATTGGCCGCAGATCATGGCCCCTTGGCGTGGCGTGAGGCGGGGAAGCCCTTCCGGAAAGGGCGGATACATCCTCAGACCTTCGGAAACGATGGCGGCGAGGTATGGGAGCCGCTTCACCCTGTCGGGCTCAATGTCCTGTTCGCTGGCGAACGAGCCGCGGATCTCGTCGACGGCTTTCTTCAGAGCCTCGGGGTGCTTGAGCAACTGGAAAGTTATGCCTGCCAAACCGGACGCGGTACTCTCGCTCCCGGCGAGGACTATGAGCGTAGAGTTTGCGTACAGCTCCTGGATCGGCATTGCCACTCCCTCTCTGCTTTTGATAATATAAGACAGAAAATCCGGATGGTCTGACTTTGATGAGATTCGCCGGTCAACCTTGTCACAATTCAAGTTGAAAACTTTATCCTGTCGGGCTTTCATGGATTTTGGAATCATCAGCCTGACGATCTTGTCCAAAGGACTTAACTGCTTGCTATGATTTGATTAGTATCTTTCTGTCCTACAACATGGTCAATCACACTCATACCTGATATTGACAAAGGCAAAAGTCTTGAACGCATTGAATACAAGCTCGACCCATTCCGTGAAGCGGGCAAGTTCAAGGCAGTTGAATGGCTCGCCAAACGAAAGATCTCCAATCAAGTCGAAAGTAGTCCAGATGTACCATTCGAACAGGTCGACTGGTTCTGACCCTGTGTTCTTGACTCTGTCCCCTAATTTCTCGATCAGTTGTCCCGTGAAATGCTGCAAAATGTCCTGCTGCTCCGAAAGCGCCTTGTCGGAAAAGGCGGGCAGAAGAGTCCGGCGAACCCTACTGTGGGCATCTCCTTCGGAGGTCAAGATGGAGTGGACGCCATTGGTCGCTGGCTGAAAGAAAGCCGGGTTCTTTCGGAAGCCTTCTCCTGGCTGACGATGACCGTAGATGGTTTTCAAGGCCTCTACACTGATATACGAGAGCTCCCCGGGTGCTGTTCGAACGACCGGCCCATATTGCTCATGCAGTTTTCTATGCTCAGGCACAAGAGTCCCCGAGAACATCCATTTGAGGTAAGGGATCCGAGAAGCTGCGAGGAGCTTCGGACCCGGGTACTTTCTCAAAGGATGAAAGTAAAGATTATAGAGGACGTTTGCAGCGAAGTAAGCTATAGTCTGGTTACGTATATATCAGTCTCCTGGCGATGAAAGGCTCAAGTGATTGACAACGTGAAACAAATTATACTCACGAGAAGACAAACTACAGCTGCACCAATTCCTATTTGACCGAGAGAGATCACGGAGGATGATCCCAACATGTCCAGGAAAGTCATGGTGCTTGTAAAATTCTTAATGACAAGACCTCCTCAAAGGCAAAGGCTTCGGCTTCGATTGGTGACCGTCAAAGTCGAAGATAAAGAAATCAGAGTGTTCAAGCAGGTAAGCTGCGGTCTGAAAAAGTCCCCAAAAGATTCCCAGATGTCAATGGAAACCAGACTGATGAAGGCTGGATGATGCAGTGACATTCGTGACGTTTTTGCGTCCTGGTTGTGGTCATGACCCAGACCCGAGCGGCTGAACAGAGGCATAGGAGCCAGCGCACATGGTGCAACCCACACCTCATAGCTTGACAGAAGTCTGATGGTCGCAGCTGCAGTCCCGAACAGTTCTCAATCAAGACGCGAGATGATCGGGGTCAGCAAGATGCTGGGCATGTCTAGCAGCGAGGCGGCCCAATACCAGATCTAGCCCGACTCATCGGTGAGGCTCGGAGTGACGTGTGATTTGTTACTTGCTCTTCCAATCGTTTGGGGGGCCAATGGCAGAGCCATGGCCACGGTCTCCGATTCGGACCAATCAAAGCATGCGATAAGGTCACAGATTTATGCACTTGTGTTATGAAGCAGAATGTATGCAGATCTGAGGCGTGGTTTTGGCAGGACGTCTGCAGGTCAGAAAAATGATTTTGGGTTGGATGTATGTAGGTGGATGAAAGTAGGTGGATGAATATAGGTGGATGAACATAGGTGGATGTATGCAGGTCAGAAGTGCACTGAAATGCCCCAAAGAGAGGGAGCTGTCCGTGCGTCAATCCTTTCGCCCGCGTACGTGTATCCACGAGGCGAAACGGGGGCTTGTGGTTGATTGTCGTGGGCAGAGGGGGTGCGCCACAAGGTTGTCGCTTTGGATGAGATCGAGAAGCTGACGATGCGATAGGTTGCATGCGTACGGGTCAGAGGTGCGGTGGAATTGAAGCGTGAAGTTGAAGGTCTGTCAATCGATTCGTTAATTGATTAATTAATCAATCCATCCGTTAATGCGTCTATTCGTGTCGCTCGCGTATGGTATTAGATCAGATCGAGCAGGCCGTATGCGTGACATTGCCGAATAGAAGCTTGTGCATACTTCGAATTGGGCTGCGCTGGGACGATATAGATAGTCATCTTACATGTTGCATTATGTTACATTACATGTATGTCATATTATGTTACACTAAGTATCTTATTTGTTTGGAATTGGAGTTGGAATTGGAGCAGAAAGATGACGAAGGATGGGGAAATTGATGGATGAGAGTTCGCCTAGATTAGCTTCTCCTTTTAAGGCTATCCTGCGGATCGCCCAAACTCAAAGGTTTTGACAGTGCTAGTACCAGTAACCTTGTACTTGACCCGAACCCCGCTCAAGAAAGGTAATGTACTGTAAGGTAACCCCACCCCACCCTCCGGAAACTTTTAAATCTAGGCAACCGTGGAGCATGGATCCCTGGAATCAAGAAGCTCCTGCAAGATCCCGTCGTCGAACTTTCAAGCACGAAGTCAATGTCAGCACTAAGCACCGTAGCGCGCAGATCATTGAGACTGCCAACCTAATCAGAGAGGCGCGTGGGAACTTGGTTTTGCGCTATAGACTAGCGGCGGGAAATATCGTGCTTGACATTCGGCACCGATGAAGGGGTGAATCTTTGCCTTCCCCACCCCCCAATTGATTCGGTGTAGCTCAGATCCAGTTAAATATACCTAGCCTTTCCGAGCAGTTTTAGCCGCATTGTTCAGCCAACCTTTGAAACTTCACTGTAATCCTCCGAGCACGTGATATCAAGCGAGCTGTTACTTTATCCGACATCCTGACGCGACATGTTTCGACCTCGACGCACCCCGAGAATTTCCGTAAAAAACGATACACGTAACGTAAGCACACGCGTTAGTATATCTCGACGACGGACACATTGATAAGGAAATCTCAGAGAGGTGGTTTCGAAAAATCCTCTTCTGGCTTATTGCGGCGTCTTCGTAACCCACACCATGATCGACCCCCGATGGAATGCTAATCGCGAATCTGATGTGATGTCAGCCACTCTGTATGTCAATTGCTGGGATACTAAGCAACGACCTCCGCGCTGAGACTGTTGGCACGCCGTCTTCAGGGAAAAGGAGTCACACTGGAAGTTGACGACCGGATTGACAGTGTGTCCCAACCTCCACAACCCGAAGGTTCGATGGGAGAATTAGAACGGTGACATCCTGCTGACAGCCTTGACTGAGCATATGTAATCGTAATACGCGTCGCGGTGTTCAGGATACAGTCGACCGTACCGTGCCCTTGATGTTATTGAGGTGTGACCCGATCTTGACGATGGCGGACCGCCTCTGGGTAGCCGAGCAAATGAACAACGAGTAGCGGACATTACAAAACTTGAATGTTTAGACGATCCACGTGAGCATTGCAGGGGAGCTGTATCTGTGGGGTGGTGAAGAGACGTACGATGTTGCATCATGATACACTTCTCTAGTGGAGGTAATATTTCGTGGTAAAGTCATATCTATGGGGTCCTTCCAGCCGGCGCCAATGTCTGCACGATCGGCCCACTCAGTCGTATCTGCATCCGGTCCTCTGCTGGGCACAGATTGGTGGTGACCCCATTTTCTGCCTCACAGTGGCTGCTTGTCTGGCCCCTGACTCTCCGCTGGATCAACAAATCCACCCACAGATGTTGTTCTTGCTTGTAAAACTGTCGACACCCTCGTTAATGACACTGATTGTTGGGTTTGGCGTTCAGGAACGCCATGGCTGCCGTGGGGTGAGCATGTTGCAAAGATTGCGGTAAGCCGGAGTCAAGAGGCGCTTCGGCCCAAGCCACTTAGACTTTGGTCCTCATCTCATGGTTCTCGACCGCGCTTTCGAGATGATCTTGGCCTTTACGGGTGTGGTAGTCAATGGCAGCGTATGAGAAAGTGATTTGGTGGCTCGCGGCTCGGGGAGGAAGCGATACATCTAGAACGGAGATTTGATGATGTCATCACACGGCAGTACTTGCATGACACGACAAGTTAGGAAGCACGAAAGTTTGACGCATCTATTCATTGGGTTGTCGTGAACGAGATTCTGCAAGAACGTTCACGGAGACCCTGCATGGACGTGCGTAAAGATCTGGCATGAAAGTGACTATGTTGAGATGTGCACAGAACACACCAATTGAGGTTCCCAGCAGGAGAACCCTGAAGATACCCCATGGACGTGCATGAAGATCTGGCATGAAGTGATGGTGTCGAGATTGTCATGCTCGCGATCAAGATTGGTTACTTCCACACTTGATAAGCCTTCAGGGGACACACGATTCGGAATTTTCCACCAGTGGGACGTCGAACCCCTGCTTGGACGTGCATGACATCTGGCATGAAGTGACTGTATTGAGATTGAGATGCTTGGAAACTATGAAATAGCAAGCATTGGACGCACCAGAGGCAGATAAGCAGGCTCTTAGGTGCGAACGTCCTAAAAGGTAGTTTCTCTTACCAGGGCGTAAGAGATCGTACGATTTGATCCGTAGACATTGCGATGGGTGAAGTAAACGCTGCATTGGTCGTAGTTACAGAGTTGTACTTACCTCAGCTCATGACGAAAAGGTACCGCAAACAGTGACGCGAGTCGGGAATTAGGCGCCGGAGTATCGGGGAAATCCCTTTCCGTCCGTGTTGATATCGAGGCCTTTCGTAAAATCCTAGATCCCTAAGGATGCAACGTCCACAATTCACGATTCGGTCCGGCCCCTTGCCTTCTTTCAGCACCTGTGTGTGTTGGCTGTCAAATGTCAATCATGAAAGCTCCAGTTCAGCTGTAGCTCTTAGCCCTTGCCGACTTCTTGGCATTGGGAGAATCGCGCCACCCTCTTGGTATGGATTGCACTCCGCCCAAAGCAAAAGAAAACATAATGCAAAAGATGCATAACAGCTTGGATCATGATCAAAACTTGAACCGTGTTCAAGGTATTAGGTTTACTTACGCATTGCGGAAAGTAGTACTTTATCCCTTAAAATTTGGGTATCACAGTTCGAACGAGATGCCAAGATATCTCGAAATTCAGATATCTTGTACCTCACTTCGTATCAACTGCAACAATACAACAATACCAAGTATGATAGAGGCAGGGGTCCACAGGTACCAATGAGTAGCGCAATCTTCTCGATGCCGAAGAATGTCAAGCTTCCTGCCCTCACTCATTCTGCACCTCTCGAAGCTGCACCTACCCTCCCTACCCTTCTCTCCACTTTTCTCCTTTCACACGCACCTCCCACTCTTCCGCCTATCACGCTGGGTTGCTGGCGCATCTGATACGAACTGAGTTCAGCCGCTCCTAATATATTGACGTTAAGCCAGTGGACACCATGGACATGTCAAACGATGCTTCTAGCCCGATCTTTTCTCTCGTGACCTCGACATCTTTCACAAGCCCAAGGCCTGAAAGCACCGGTTCGGCCGAGACTAGGCGGATTTGGGTCGGTCTCGAACCTTCCGAGAGTTGGGGGTGAGTCAATGGCGCGCTGTCATCCTCCTGGAGCAACCAAGACTTACTTCAGGACAGGCTGGATCGGGATCTTCCGAGGTCAGTGCGCTATTCGATCTTTCTACATGCATTAGTCTCAGCACCGGGATGTCCCTCGTGTTTGTCGATCTTCTTGGGGCCAACGAAACAATATCACAAGTTAACCTGATAACTTGTGTTGGCGTAGGAACGCCACGATAGGTCAAGGCTACCAAATCAGGCACCATCACCGAATCTCACGCGTCATTGACCGTATGCTTCTTAGACCAAAGCTCTATATACCCCTCTACACTGTTTCTGTAAATGCCTCGAGTATAATCTTAAACCTGAGCGTATCTCTGCTCTGATTCAACCTGATTCAAGGGACTTTCAACATCTCACTTGGAACAACCCATCGCCCCAACGATGGCCTCTACTCATGATGAGCTGCCTTCAATGGCGGTGTTCAGCCCGCAGAGCAAGGCGCCACAAGAGGCATATCTGGACGAATTACGGTCCTATCTGTGCGGAAAGGCTGAACTTCGACCTTTACTTGACGCCATCGAAGATCTCCCGAACACGTGGTCCATCTTTGCCGACAACAACCCCGACATTGCAGCTTTGAGCCAAGGCTTACGGTATACCCAGGCCTTGTCCGACTGGGTCAGGAATGGGAATTCATCAAGGATTGCCAATGTCATGTCTGGGATTTTGTCATTACCTCTGTTGACCATAATCCAAACGGTACAGTATTTCCAATTCCTCGAAGTCAAAAGGCTCCGCCACCATGACTTCATAGCGCGGCTTCGGGATAGAGGAGGAGTGCAAGGCTACTGTGGAGGACTCATGCCTGCTATTGCAATCGCCTGCTCTGCGAGCGAAGCCGAAGTAGCCATCAATGCCTCCAAAGCCATGGGCATCGCACTAGGCGTTGGCGCTTATGGTGAGCTTGGAGACGACGAGAACATAGAGGGCCCAACTACAATAGTCGTCCGACTCAAATATCCGGGCCAAGCCCAGGAGATCATAGAGGACTTCAACGACGTGCGCTGCCCATACCAAACTATTTTGCGTGAATCTAGCTAAATCATTCACAGGCGCACATATCAGCCATCACGGACCCAAAGACTGTCAGTATTGTTGGGACGTCCAAGTCACTTGCAGAAATCCAGGTCCGAGCAAAGGCTCGTGGGATGCAAACCCAAGCCATGCATCTGCGAGGGAAAGTGCATAATCCGGAAAATGCCGATTTGGCACAGGAGCTATGCACACTTTGCGATAAGCACGAGAGTCTTCTGCTGCCGGACGCTTCGCATTTGAAATCTCCTTTGAGATCCAACAAGAACGGGGAGAAGATTCTGGAGGGGTCCCTCAATCATGAAGCAATTGAGACGATCCTGGCATCGTGCTGCCAATGGTACAACCTTCTCAATGGCGTCTGCAGAGATTTGGAGAAGACCGGAACTCAAACCCATCTTTTTGCTGCGTTCGGGATTGGCGACTGTATTCCTTTGGCTCCATTCCATAAAGCAGGGCTGCAGATCACAAAACTGGATATTCTCTCCTTCATCAAAGCTTTAATGCCACCTGTTCTGCCAGTGTCTGACTTTGGTGTCAAGTATGCTTATCCGACAGATGCGGTTGCTGTCGTAGGTATGGCATGCCGCCTACCTGGTGCTAACAACATCGAAGAACTCTGGGATTTAATCTCGTCTGGCATTTCGACTGTGGCACCGGTCCCGCAAGATCGGGTGGACATTGCGCATAGCTTTCGAGCTTTGCAAGACCCAAAGTGGGCCGCTAAGCAACAGTGGTGGGGCAATTTCATATCTGACATCGGCTGCTTCGACCACAGCTTCTTCCGCATGAGCCCACGAGAAGCGGCGTCAATGGATCCACAACAACGGATTCTTCTTGAGACAGCATATCAAGCAATGGAGTCGAGCGGGTACCTTGGATCGCACCGACGCGAAACGGGCGATCCTGTCGGAGTCTTCCTAGGAGCAAGTTTCGTTGAGTATCTGGACAACACTTCTGCAAACCCGCCCACCGCATACACCTCTACTGGGACAATCAGAGCGTTTCTATCCGGCAAGATAAGCTATCACTTTGGTTGGACCGGTCCTTCCGAGATTCTCGACACAGCATGCTCGTCTTCCCTAGTCGCCATCAACAGGGCTTGCAAAGCGATTCAGAATGATGAGTGCTCAATAGCACTTACTGGTGGTGTCAATCTTATCACTGGTGTTCACAACTACTTGGATCTTGCAAAAGCAGGCTTCCTCAGTCCAACTGGGCAATGTAAGCCATTTGACAGCGGCGCAGACGGCTATTGTCGTTCAGAGGGTGTAGGACTTGTTGTTTTGAAGCGCTTGAACCAAGCCTTGACCGATCAAGACCAGATACTTGGCGTTATCCCCGGCGCAGGCACCAATCAAGGTGGCTTAAGTCCATCACTCACAGTTCCGCACAGCGCTGCTCAGGTAAAGCTGTACCGGGGTATCCTCCATCAAGCGGGAATGAGACCGGAGCAGGTATCTTATTGCGAGGCCCACGGCACAGGCACCCAAGCAGGCGATCCATTAGAAGTAGCAAGTGTACGGGAAGTTTTCGGGAGCCCTGAACGGCAAGATTACATGCAGTTGGGGTCGATAAAAGGCAACATTGGCCATTGCGAAACTGCTGCTGGAGTTGCCGGTCTTCTCAAGGCGCTGGTCATGGTCAACAAAGCCGCAATACCGCCTCTAGCTAGCCACAAGAGTTTGAATCCAAAGATTCCAGCTCTCGGGACCGACAGACTTGCAATTTCAAGCACTCTAGAAGCTTGGAAGGCTTCGCCGAGAGCCGCACTGGTGAATAGCTATGGTGCAGCTGGAAGCAATTCAGCTGTTCTGGTTTGCCAGGCTCCTGATAATGATAGACAGCCTGCACGCTGGTCACCGCCCTTGGATTTTGCCTATCCAATCATACTGAGCGCTGTGTCCAAGGCCAGTCTGGTTGCCAATGCTGAGAAGCTAGCAACCTTTCTTGAGACTTCAAAGTGCACGATCGCTGATGTCGCGTTTACCCTCGTCGAAAAGCGCAAACGCCATCCAATACGATTCGTGTCGATGGCGTCGAATATGCCGGGGATGGTCAAATCTCTACGATCGATACAGGACCCCTCGGACGCTCCGCAGCCAAGAAAGGTGGTGTTGACCTTTGCTGGCCAAAGCCGGCAATCTGTTGGGCTGAACAAAAATCTGTACGACTCATTCCCTCTCTTCCGGCAGCATTTGGATGCATGCAACGAGCTGTTACAGCAAAGTGGCTTTTCTTCCTGTATACCAGCAGTCTTTGACAAGGAGCCTGTTGGGGATATTGTGGCACTCCAGTGTGGGTTGTTCGCTGTTCAGTATGCATGCGCTATGGCTTGGATCGACAGCGGACTCCAAGTGGAAGCTGTAGTTGGTCACAGCTTTGGGGAATTGACAGCTTTGGCGGTGTCGGGTATCCTATCCCTCAAAGACGCTATCAAGCTTGTTGCTACCCGAGCTGTATTGATGCAGTCAAAATGGGGCCCCCATAAAGGGACAATGCTTTTGGTGGGTGCAGCTGCTGAGGTTGTGCGAAAAATAATCTCCGGAAGGCAAGATGTCGAAATTGCTTGCCACAATGCTCCAACAACCCAGATTGTCGTGGGCACGGAAAGTGCCATCTCAGAGGTCGAAAATCTTGTCAGCCAGGATTCAGAGTATGGTGGCATCAAATGTAAACGCCTAGATGTTACGCATGGCTTCCACTCCCGCTTCACCGAACCACTGCTGAAGGATCTTTCTGCGGTGGCTAACTCGATGGCCTTCAAAGCGCCATCGATCCATTTAGAGTCCTGCACCTTTGAAGAGCTACCCCAAGTAGGACCCGAACGTATCGTCCGACACACTCGAGAGCCTGTCTTTTTCCACCAAGCTGTACGCCGCCTGGAGCAGCGATTTGGCTCATGTCTGTGGCTCGAAGCTGGCTTCGACTCTCCGATCACAGCAATGATTAAGAGAGCAGTTGAGACCCCGGAGAAGCACCACTTTCAGGATCTGAAGACTCCGAGCGGAACAAACCCCACTGTCTTGCTTCCTACCATAACAACCAAACTTTGGCAAGAGGGTGCCTCGACCTCCTTTTGGGGCTTCCGTCCTTTGCATGAAACGCACGTCAAGCAAGTATGGTTGCCACCGTACCAATTCGAACGAAGCTACCACTGGATGCCCTATACCGACCATGCTTTGGAGATGAGTGAAAACCAAGCTATCGGCGGCAAAGCAAAACCTGTGATGGAAACGTCAAGTAAGCCCCTACAACTGGTCGAACCTCGGACGAAACCCAAAGAAGAGGGTGAATATACCATTAATACACAAGCTCAACGCTACACCGGCATCGTTTCTGGACACGCCGTTCTAAACAAACCACTGTGCCCCGCAGCTATGTACATGGAATGCGCAGTGATGGCCGCTCAATTATCACTTGGCAAGACCGAGAGTCAGGGTCTTTGGTTTGAGGATCTGACCTTCGAAGCGCCTCTCGGAGTTGACCATGGTCGCGATGTTACTGTTGTCTTGAAAAAGGACGGTTCAGACAAGGCTTGGTCTTTTGTTGCCAGGAGCGTAAGCAAAGCCAACCCAAGCCCCAAACCGACATTGCACGCCAAAGGAAAGTTTGGTTTCTCTTCGACCACTCGATTCGATCGGTATGATAGACTCATGACGGGCCGCATAGCGCAACTCAAGGAGCAGCCCGAAGTTGAGAAGCTGAAATCCAAAAGAGCTTACGAACTGTTTTCTCGAATTGTTGTGTACGCAGAGCTTCTGAAGGGAATATCGTCGATCACATTAGGGGAATCGGAAGCATTGGCAATGATCGATGTACCGCTCCATAGCAATACCAATGACAGCTCTGCGACAGGAATTTGCGACACAATAGCGCTGGACACCTTCATTCAGGTGGCAGGTCTTTTGATCAATTCCAGTGCGCATTGTGCCGGGGATCAGGTTTTCGTTGCCACTGGTGTTGAGAATTTTTCGATGGGCGCGGCCTGCGACTTTGACAGGTCCAGGAATTGGATTGTGTATGCCATGTTTACACCTGTGGGTGACGGGAAAGCGATGGGAGATGTTTTTGTCCTCACAAGAGATAACGTCGTGGTCATGACGGTCATGGGTGTACAATTCACTAGGCTTCCGGTCACAAGGTTAGACAAGCTGCTGGACTCTGCTAATCCTAAAGCTCGCGACGCGCCGGTCGCGAAACCGACTCAGCCAACTCAGCCACACTTCATAGATGCGACACCTGTTACCTCTAGCCAGAAACAGAGCGATTCTGACAGTGATGAGGATGGTCTGCAGTCTGGAAGCAGTAGTAACACCTCTCTTGACAGCGATTCGGAGGGGCCTGATGATGATGGTAGTGTGAAGACACTGAAGTCTCTCATCGCATCGTACGTCGGGTTGGCCGAAGATGCCATTTCCGATGAGGCGAATATTGCGGACCTGGGAGTCGACTCCCTAGCTGCTACAGAGCTAGCCGATGAGGTCTCGAATACCTTCTCCACGGAAGTCGCTGGGGACGAAATTCAGATGATGACATTCGGCGAACTGTGTCAAAAGGTGGCACCCCAGAAAGCAAGCAGACCCTCCAAGGCGAGTAAACCGGCTCCAACCCAAATTTCAACAATTGCGCCACTGCCAAGCGTCTTACCCGGCAAACCTGAAGGCTCGAAGCCTGTAGCAGAGGCTCTGTCAAGAGCAAATCCTGCACTATCCGATACCACTGTCCTTCAATCCGATCCCATCCAAATCCTTCGAGAATGTGATCCCTTAATTGGCACATCTGCCGACAAACACGGCTTCACTGATTACTGGGACTTAGTCGCGCCAAAGCAGAATCAGCTCGTCTTGACGTATATTGGAGAGGAACTCAGAAAACTGAATCTTGATCTCTGGACGGCTGAGGCTGGAGCGATCCTTCCAAATATCGCATATCTTCCAAAGCACGAACAAGTTGTCCAGAGACTGTGGGATATTCTTGCCGATCATGGCATTGTGTATCCCTACGATTCCAAAATGATCCGGTCCAGCAAGCCTCTTTCAACAACACCATCCACAGATTTGCTCAAGGAAATCAATGCCTCGTTTCCGAAGTATGCCAACGAAAACACGCTTATGTCTGTCACGGCACCCTATTTCGCCGAAGGATTGGCCGGGAAAACTGATCATATCGGCTTGCTCTTCGGGAACCAGTTCGGCCAGGAATGTCTCAACGACTTTTACAACAATTCGCCCCAGCTGGCAGTGATGACGAGTCATTTGCTTAACTTTTTCAACAAGCTTCTCGCGGATAATCCACCTGAAGGCCCACTTAGGATCCTTGAAGTTGGTGCCGGCTTCGGAGGTACCACAAGACGACTGGCAGAAATGCTAGAAAAGAATGGTCGACCCGTGGAGTACACATTCACCGATGTCTCTTCTTTACTAGTGAAGGAAGCACGGAAGAAGTTTGCAAAGTATTCGTGGATGGACTTCCAGTCCTTGAACCTCGAGAAGGATCCTCCAGCCTCTCTCCAAGGCACGTACGACATTGTGATCGGGACTAATGTGGTGCATGCAACATCGAACATTGTGAACTCGACAAAGCGACTGAGGTCTCTTCTGAAGAAGGGTGGCTTTATGGTCTTATCAGAAGTCACCCGTATCGTGGACTGGTACGATCTAGTTTACGGACTCCTAGATGGATGGTGGGCATTCAAAGACTCTAGGACTTATCCGTTGCAGCCTGCCGATGACTGGGTGAGAGACTTGCAACAGGCTGGTTTCGAAAGCGTCTCTTATTCGAAGGGGGACACTGAGGAGTCCAATACACAACAACTCATTATCGGCTCCACTAAGCCAAGCAAGGTACCAAGTACTAGCGAGTCCGTGAAAGCCCGACTAAGGCAAAGCTACAGAACTGAGACGATGCCCTACAAGATCGTTGAAGATACGAAAATCCTGGCGGACGTGTACTTCCCTGAGAGCCCGGCGCCGACAGAACCCATGCCAATAGGTAATCTCATCTAGTATGTTGTTATGTCATAAGCAGACGCTTACTATTCACGAAGCCCTCATGATCCATGGTGGCGGTTACATGACACTTTCAAAACGTGCCATAAGACCCCATCAAACACAACTCCTCCTTGACAATGGCTACCTTCCCGTCAGTATCGACTATCGACTATGCCCTGAAATCGATCTGATCGCCGGACCGATGACCGATGTCCGAGACGCCCTAGGCTGGTTGCGAACCAAGCTGCCCGAGATTGCCCAAGCTCGTGGGGTCGTTGTGGATCCGGCCAAAATCATCGCCATTGGTTGGTCGACTGGTGGTCATCTGGCCATGACCACGGCGTGGACATGTGAGGAGGTGGGACAAAAACCGCCTGCCGCGATCCTCTGCTTCTACGGTCCAACTGATTTCGAATCTGAAGGTGCGTGTCCATCCAATCTTGCCCTGCTTACGCATCCCGCTTCTCTTCAAATCTGGGGATGTGGTGTACTCCTACATCGTCGCTGACCACCATCGCAGAAATCGACCGCCCGCGCGCGGAGCAGTACCCTGAGCGAAGTATGTCTTTGGACAACATCCGCAAATCTCTATCAACAACACCCGTGAGTCCTCGATCTTTGTTTTCGATTTTCTCTTCCTGGAAGACCTCCCTATCACGAGCGACACCCGACCCTCGCTAACACCAATTCTCTCCGCCCGCAGATCACATCCTACGACTCCCCCACCGGCTCCGACGGCACCAATCTCGGCTGGGTCCGGCCGGGTGACCCGCGCTCCGAGCTCGTCCTCTCCCTCTTCAAAGAAAGCCACGGCCTCCGCGTCATGCTCAACGGTCTCTCGTCCGCCGCGCTGGCCACCCCGCCCCCGCGGGCCAAAGTCCACGCCATCAGCCCCATGGCGCAGCTCAAAGCAGGACGCTACACCGTGCCGACGTTCGTGATCCATTCGGACCGCGACGAGATCACGCCGTTCGCGGCCAGCGAGGCATTCGTGACGGAACTGACGGCGAGGGGGGTCCGCGGTGGACTGGGTAGGGTGAAGGGAAAGGGGCATATTCATGATTTGGCATTGAAACCTGGAGAGGACGGGTGGGAGGATGGCGTGGGGGTGGGTTATGATTTTGTTTTTCGGGTCGTCGGGAGGGGTGGGTGAGTGAGTGTGTAAGTCGTTCCTGAAGACATGGCATGTGCGGCCATTCAACATGGCTGCCTTGACACCTCGGGCGTTCGTCCCTGTTCCATACTGTACTCGTCCTGGGGGGTTCTCGGCGTTCGGTGCTCGACCCACTGTACCTAATATAATACCGGGCAGAGCCCACTTCGCTGTCATTCTGTACGTCGTCATCTTCGACCTCGCTATTACACCTCCCCTTCTCCCCAGTTAGGAACAACTATTTTGATCAAATCCAATTTTTGAAATTTACATAACCACGAACGCGTTTATTCCCTTAAACATTACGATAAATTATATTAAAGTCTCTAAGCTTTTATTTAAGACCTCTTTAAACTTATTACGATATCTAAAATTTTATTATCGCTAAAAAATCAAATTTTAAGTAAAAATTATCTAAAATATCTTAAAGATTATATTACTTATTTATTTAATAAAGCGCGTTATTTAATTTAAAATAATGTTAAAGCGAAAGCTATTAAAATATCTAAGTAATTAAAAAAATTCTAAATCTTCTATAAGACGTTTTATTAGAGATTTTTAAAAATATTCTTATAGAAGAATCTAAATATAAATAAATATAAAGTTTAATAATAATAATAATAATACGTAGACTAGCTATTTAGATTTAGATCTAAATTAAAAAATATAAAAAGAGAAATAATAAGTTCTCTATTATAACTCTTAAATTAAATTATTATTCTTATTATAAACGCGTTATTAAAATATAAAATAATTATAAAATTTATAAATAAGATTATTAAGATTAAATATTATGAAAATAATTTAAATTAAAAGATTATAAACGATATTAACGTCGTAATTTATAATAACTCTAAAATTATAAAGTTCTTAAAATTTTTAAATTATAATCTTAAAGAAGATAATTTATAGACTTCTATCTATTTAACGCGTTAGCTTTTAAATAATAATTTTTAACTTAAAATCTTCTATATTAAAGATATATCTCTTCTTATAAAAAGATTATTATAATTATTATTTTTTAATATTATAATCTTAATTATATTTAATATCTTTATAATAATAATATATATAATTAAAGTAAAAATAATAAATTTATTAGATAATAAGATTTAAGATATTATAAAGAGTAAGTTTAATTAATTTAACTCTATATTATTAGATATTATTAAAATATATAAAATTAAGTATATTAGCTAACTATTAAAATATAATTATTAAAAATTATTAAAAATATATAGATTAGCTATTATTATATTTTACTTTTTTAAAATTATTAACTTTATAATAAAGAGAGATCTTATCTAGAGAAGTTAAATATATATCTATAAGCGCTTTATATATAATATTAATTCTAGATAATACTATAAATATTAGAATTATAAATATAAAAAATATTTTTATTATATCGATATAAAATATAAAAGATATAACGTCTATAATTATATTAAAGCGAACTATTAAGCTAAATATCTCTATTATTATTATTATAAATAAGTTAAATATAATTTAAAAAAGAATATATATTTAAGAAGAAAGAAGGAAATAAAGAAATACGTTAAAAAATAAATAAATAAATATTAAGTCTTTTTAGAATCTAAAGAATATATTATTATATAAATAATCTCGTCTTAAAATATTTAATAAGTTTTTCTTTCGAATATTAATAGTCTAAATAATTCTCTTATAATAAAAGAGAAGAAAATTCTTTAGCGTAAAAGCGTTTATACGAATTTTTAATTATAGATCTTAATAAAAGCTTTATTTAGAGATATACTTAAAAAGAGCGACGCTTATAATTAAGCTCTAAAAAAAATTATAATTTAGATATTAAAGTTTAATAAGAGAAAGATAAATTTTATAGACTTTAATCTTTATACTATAATAGTAATAGATTTAAAAAAAATAACTAGATATTTAAATATCTTAATATATTTCTTTAAAAGATAGAAGAAAAGTAAAAATTCTAAAAACTCTATATTTAATATATCTCTAAATACGCTAATAATTAATATAAATAATATAAAGTTAAATAAGAGAAACTTTAATAATATTAATAATATTTTATCTATATAATAATTATAAGCGAAAAAATTATAATACGCCTCTTTAGAGAAATAAGTTTAAATATTATTAATAAAGAAAGTCTAAAAGTATATAAAGATTATATAAACCTCTAAATCGATTTTTATTAACTCTCTCTTCTTTTAATTTATCTTTTAAATATTACTATCGCCCTTAATATTAATTATCTCGAGAAACTTTAATCTTAAATCTACTCTCTCTTATATTAGATATTACTATCGCGATTTAAATCTCGCTACTCTTAATTTATCTCTATTAAATTTATTAAAATACTTATTATTAAAAACTTATTTATTTATTATTAAATTAATTTTAAAAATACTCGCTTATTATAAAGATAAATAAAGTAAAAAGATAAATAGTAGTAGAGTTAGTAGCGTCTTTATACGACGTTAAGAAATAATTTAATCTTTATATCTTAATAATATCTAGATCGATTTCTTCTCTATCGAGAAATAGAAGATTAAAAATTATCTTATATAATTATTAGAGATTAAAAGATTTAATTATAGCGAACTTTCTTTATAATTTAAAAATATATAATTATAATTTAATAGCGATCTAGAAATTCTAGATTAATATATAAATAATAATTACTTACTATTTAATTAAGACTTTTTATAATTTATATTACTTAAATAATAAATATTATAATAGAGAAAGAAGCTAAATATATATTTTTATATATAAATATATCTCTCTAATAAGTATCTTCTAATTTATAATATTTTTATTTATTAATATTTTAAGCGTAGAGATTTAACTTTAAATATAAATATTAAAAAATATTAATATCTATTTAATTAATATATATAATCCTCTAAAGAATTAAAATAAATTAACTTCGAAGAAAGTATTATCTTAAAAATCGCTAGAGATATTTAAAAAGACTATGAATAATAATAAACGCTTTTATCGCTTAAGATAAAATTAAATAATAGAAATTATCGCTATAAATAATTTTAATATTTATTATCTTATTTAAAAAGAAAGCTATATTAACGCGAGTCTTAAGATAATTAAATTACTTAAAATTATAAATAAATTTTAACTTATATAATAATTATTCTAAGATATTAAAATATTTAAATTTCTTAATTTAATATCTTATATATTAAACCTCTACTTTATAATAAAGAATCTAAATAATTATATTATTTAATATCGAATATAAGATAATTTAGATATCGCGTTAAATTACTATTTAATAGAAATTAAAGTAAATATTATAATTAAGATAATAAAGTTCTTAATAAATTATAACTATTTTAAAATAAATAGAGCGCTATATAATAAAAAAATTATATTTTAAATTTTTTAAATTCTAAGAGAATTCTTACTCGAGAGGCTTAACTTCTTCTTTTTAAAAATTTTAAAAATTATTTATAATTTTCTTATTCTTATTATTCTCGAAAATAAAAAAAAGAACTTTTAAAAATCTAGCTTTAACGAAAAGTATAAAGAGATAAATCGATTAATATAAAATATCTATCGACTTTATTAGAAGTTTAAAATCTCTCTTAATATTTATTATCTTTATATAATTAAAATAAAAAAACGCGTTAATAATTAAAATAATATAAAAAGATAAATAATTTATATAAATCTTATAAAAAATTATTAAATTAAGCTCGCGAAAGTAATAGACGATATAAATAAAATATAAAAGCTTATAAAGTAGATATAAAATTAGATAATATTCTTTTTATTATTTATCTTAAATCTAAAATACCTTAATAAAATAATAATAATACTTAAAAAGAATAAGATAGCTATTCTCGCTAGAAGATTCTTTCTTAAACTCTTAATAATTAATTTAAATAATTTAAAAAAGTATATTTATTTAAAATTACTTTTAATCTCGAAAATTATCTAGAAGAAAGTCTTAGCGATAATTTAAAAATCGTCTTTATAAAATACTTCGAAAGAAGATAAATTATTTAATATTATATTTTAATAAGACTTAATAACTCTATAAAAGTCTTTTATATAATTATTTAATAAATATTTAAAGTATAGATATTATCTTATTAGCTTTAAAAGTTCTATTATAATAACTCTTTATAAATTCGAAAAGAAAAACTACTCTATTTTTAAGTATTATTATCTTATCGCGCTATTTAATATTCTTAAAAAAGCTCTTAAGTTAATTATAATAATTTAACTACTCTATCTTATAATAAAGTATATTTTTATTTTTAAAAATTATTTTAAAAAGAGAAAGAAAATTATAACGAAGTATACGCTTTATATATTAATTAAGAAAATTTACTCTATATAGCGATAGAAGTAGATATATAGTCTACTCTATTTAGATATTATTAAAATTTTTAATAATATTAATTATTTTTAATTACTCTATAATCTTTATAAGTATAAAATTAATAATATAATTATAAATTAAGTTAAGAGTTTTATCTCGAATCGCTTTATAAGAATAAAAGCTTCGAATTTTTTATTTAAATTCTTTTTATAATAAATCGAAATCTCTTAAAGTTTAGCGATTTTCTCTTTACTATATTACTTCTATAATAATAATCTTATAAAAAAAGTTATTACTCTTAAAATAAAAGCTTTAGAAATTAAATATATTAATAATATAAATATTCTAATCGCTAACAATATAATTAAAAATTATATCGCTATATTAAAAATTATCTACTTTATCTATCTTCGCTAAATTCTAAAATATATTTTAAAATTTAATTTAAATAAATTTTAACTCGTTTATTTTATATAGATTTTATAAATAAATTTAATCTTATTTAATCTAGATAATATAATTTATAAAGCTATTAAATCTCTAAAATATCTTAGCGTTTTTCTGAATTAACGCTTAATCTTTAATATTTATATTAATAAAATAAAAGAAAAAATAAATATTAAGATCTTAATATTAAGCGTTTTAAATAATT